CTAATGGACTTGGGATCCTGCACAAGTTTTTCCACCAGGTCTTTTAGTGATAATAAGCTCAAAGTCAGTGATTAAATCCTTGGGATCCCTGTAGGTATTGCTAATAACAAATATTTCTCGGTGGAAAGAAATATTCTGTACAATTCACATGTGAATTGTACAAAAATGAGTAAAAGTCTAACACAGGAGGCTGAGAAATGAACAGAGGGCGATGAGTGACACTCATGTTTTTCACTGGGAGCTGCTTGGCAGTGTTTTCAGTTTGCTTGCATGGAGTTTTGGAGCCTGTCTCATAGCATGTGGCATATTAGGCACAATAAAGATGTTCATTTGGCAGCTGGAGCATGACTAGGAACATCAAAAGAGTCATAGATGCGTCAATAAATGAAGAACTCCACCTTCGTATAAATATTAGATCACTGTTTTAATCGCCCATTGAATTCTTGTCAGTGAGACATTCACTCGTCATGCCTGCTGCAGCATTACCAACATTTTATTTTGGGGCTAGAGCTGAACTGTTGCTATTATTCATTTTTTGCACTTTTGTAGCAACCTGAGCACCAAACACGAATCATTTTGTTGCAAATGCTGTACAGACACAGGGTGAACAGGTGGCCTTTGCTCTGAGGGGTTTAAAATCCAGTTAAACTCCTTAAGCTCTAATACAGAGTGAGTGCAGGAGAACATGGGAACTTTTGGAGTGTGTGGCCCCTCTCATCAGGCTGCCACTCACCCAACCTGTTATAATGCATGTGGGTAGTGGGAAAAATGTCAATTATCCATCTCAGGGCTTTCCTCACACCTCATTTCTGTGACAAATGCATGAACATCACAAACATCATCACACAGACCATATGTTAGCAGGGCTGCCAAGCAGCAAAGTGTTGGATATTCAGAGAGCACCTTTGCAGCTCAGGCTGACACTTTGCACAGCTGATATCCACAACTTCTGCCTCATTTCTTGTTACACTGGTTGGTACTTGGGGGACAAAAGAAGTAATTAATTAATCACACTTTAGAGTTGTTACACAGGGATTTCTACACTGGCTTTATGTACAGAGCAAGATTTTTTCACCAGAGAATAAGAACTAAAAATTCTATTTCCCTTGTATTTAATGGGCATTTATAATGTACAGGTTTGGTTAGGAGATAGATGTAATGCCATGGATGGGAAATCTGCGGGAGCTGATGAAGCTGAAGCTGAGTGCCTGGCAGGGAAGGTCAGTGTGGTCAGTGCCAGGCCAGCCCCATGGACTGTGTAGCTCCTCCTGGAGCTTGCCAGGGGCAGCTCAAGTACTGCAAATTTGGGGTATTGCACTGGCTCTTCCCCAGAAGCCACATGAGTTTAAGGAATCAAACATTCCTAGTGAGGAGCATCGTGGGGATGCAATTCAATCTCAGCTGATGTTCCCTGGCCAGCCCAGTCCAGGACACAACACCATGCTGATAAGGTCCACATTTGACTAGGGATTTTATCTAAGGTGCCAGTTCCCCTCAACTCTTTCAACAATAGGTTTCAGTTTCACCCCTGTTGGCCCTGAAGCCAGATAATCTCCAGTGTTCTCTATCCCTATGATCACTTCATCTGCTCCCATGTCTAATTTTTCTCCTACGTGTCAGTACTTCTCAGAGCCTTTTGAATTTCTTTCCTTCTTCTTGCTATTAACCTCACCAAATACTCCCAGTTCTGTGGTAGGACTGGGAATTGAAAGCATCAGAGCTTTTGGGTGAGATATGGTAAAAAAACACCCCAGTTTCCCACTTTCAAACAACTCAGCCTCAGCCCTTTTTGGAAAAAGTTGCAGGATTTGATAAAGCAAGATGAATAGACAGTAAAGCATAAAAGGTTTAAAAGTGTCAGATTCGTACCTGCAAGGGAATACGGAATAGATTCAAGTACTTCTCCTGATTCCATGTGCCAAACCTGCATGTGGCCTTTGAACTTCCCCAGAGCATGCAGATGGCAGCGATGCAGGAATCCCAGGGTTTGTGAGCACTGAGCCGAGAGGGGGGAGCAGTGCACCCCCAGGCAGCTCCTCCCTGCTTTAGAAACACAGCCCAGTTTGTCCTTTTCTTGAAAGGCACCTGGAGTGTTCGGCTGGGTGATGCTACAGCTCTGAATCATAACATCGGATTTTAAGGGATTATTTTATTATAGTTATCTTCGGCTTTTAAATTTTTTTCTTTTAACTTTTTATTCCTGATATAATTTCTCAGAGGCCAATGCTATTTTTTTCCAGTTGTAAGCTATTAATAGTTAATCAGTAGCAGTTTTTGATTATGAAAAGCACATATTTATTCAGAGAGTCACAGATTAGCTTGGGTTGGAAGTGACCCTAAGGGTCATGCAGGCCCAAACCCTCTGCAGTGGGAAGAGATGCCACCAATACAAGTTCCTAAACCTTGTTTGGTTGGGTTTTTAAAAACTATTTAGTTGGGTTTAGTGGTTTTTTAGGGCTAAAAAATAAGAGACTTGTAATTCACAAAAGCAGCAATTTAAGCAGTATCTATACAGTGGATTGTACAGAGAATTTCGACTTCCCACATTTGTAGTGACAGGAAAATATTGCATTTTTTTGGTTGGTAGCTTTAGGAAATTGAAGTGTGTCTATTAAAACACCTGTCATAAACCCAACTTCAACTGCAAAGGGTGGTTGTTCTCCAGGAAGGCCTTGCTCAGGGAGCCTCCCATCAAAAACCCTGCTGTGGGCACAAGATCCTTCCTGGAAGCAGTTCCCAGCCTGGGAATGTGGGCACCAGCACACTCTGAGCATTCTGAAATTGCTTTAAGCTGCTGCTGCTCCCAAATTCAGTGGCTTTCTTTCCTGGTTCTCCTTCAGTACAAGACTTTGCAAGCAGGATCTGCCACCTGACAGCCTGAGATAGGTTTGTCTGCAGAGACTGCAGTGTCTGAGGGGAAAGAGGTTTTGTTTCTTTTTTTATTTATAATCCCTCTTGCTTTCAGCAAAATTCAATGAAACACCAAATGAGCTGATGAAATTCTGGTTTTCTGTCCTGCTGTGAATCCAAGGATAGTTCTCTTGCCCTACAGTAAAGTGGAGGAAATGGGAGCAGTTTGTAGTTAAAAACATGTAATTGAGCTGAAGCCGTGTGCAGCAGCAGATCCTTCAGCTGCTGGGGGAGATTTTCTGCCAGAGCCCATGGTGTCTGTCAGAGAGTTTGGGCTCTCCTCGGGAAGGGAATTGTCTGCTGTGAATTCACAGGGTCACGGCTTCATGGGGTGGTTTTAATTTTGTCTTGTTCTCAGCATCCACGTCCGTCCTAATTGGCAATTAAATTCATTTTCCCCAAGTCGTTTCTGTTTGGCCAGTGATGGTAATTAGTGAGTGACCTCCCTGTATTAATCTTTTCCATCTTTCTCCCCAGTTCTGCTGAGGTGGGGTAGTGAGAGGGTGGCTGGGTGGGAGGTTGGGAGCAGCCCAAGGCCAGCCCTCCACTCTTGCTTTGGTAAATAGTGCCCCACATCTCCTTTTGTGCCTTATTCTGTTCCAGTGCTTGAGATTTTGGCATTGTTTAATTGTTAATCTAACCCATCTCATCAATATTCATCATAAAATGAAGTTGTAAATTCTGGAACCAGCAATGGCGCTTTTTCCATGTGGTGTTCTGCTTTGGGATTGAATCCCAGTGAATGCCAGAAAGGAAGGATCTCCATGAGGTCCTCTGGCAGCCCTTTCTTCATGTTGTTCTGCCTGGAGAGAAATAGAGAATTTGATGAAGAGGATTTCTGTGTAACTTGCCAGGAGAGTTGAGTGGCCACCCACCATGAGACTATTCTTGTGCTTTAGGAACAGTTATAGAGATTCCACAGTCAGGAGGAGTTTAGGGATTGGCCACGAGAGACTCTGGGATTGTTTCTCTTCCTTTTAAAAACAATGCCCCAATACAAGAAGTGTATACAGTGAATTTAAACAATTATGCCAAGTGTTTTATTTTGTAGCAAAACTCCATTGTTGTTGATTTTATGTAGCTGGTATCACTGTAGTTTTTTTCTAAAATTGTAATGCAGTTTTTAAAGATCCAGTTGAAGTGAAATGTAAAATAAAAATAGTGAGAGCATGCAGGTAAGTGACAAGTCTGCAGCAGCAGTAACTCCAGGAGAAGGCAGGGAATACAAAACATGTTGTCTGCAGAAAAACCTTTCACATGCAAATATATTGTTCAGAGATGTCAAAACCTGAAAGTTCATTTAGCAATTGCAAGTTTGTGGTGAAGATCTCTTACTGATATAGCTGGTAGTTAAATCACTAATATTTTATCCAGTATTGTGTGCAAAATGAATCAGAGAAGAAATCTGAGGCAAAGGCTCAATTCTTTGTGCTTTAGAGACATTTTCCTTGTTATACCAGCTTTCCTAAATATTTTAAACTTTCCATGTAAAGTGAAACAGGATTGTTGACAGCTACTGTTCAATTAAAAGTTCTCACAATCCTTAGATACAGAGGAGCTCATGGACTGTGTGACAATCCTGGCAGTAAGAAATATTAGAGTTCAGTTTTTCAGTTTTATAAAACTTTTGCAGTTGCCTGGGGCTGAGTATTCTGTAAACAATCAGTGCTGAGCCTATAGATTTACTGAATACCTGAAAGCACTTTGCCACAGAAGAGCCTTTGGAGATCCTGGGCTGTGATGAGGAGCACAATGAGGTCTCTGTTGCCCCTGCTCCGTTTGTGGAACTGGGTGTGCATTTGGTTGGAGTGATCACAAAAGGCTCATGTCCAGAGTGTTTTATTTGTCTGCTACCCAGTTAGACTGGTCAAAGCCTCTGCATCTTTCTGAAAGTACATATTCATACATTTCTTTATGAAGAAGAATTAAAAAAAATGGAATTTCTTTCCAAGTTTTTTTTTCTTTTGAGAGACATTTCTTCCCAAATCTGTAGACAAGCTAATAACACAGAGATATCAGAAGCTTGTGTTCTAAAGTGGATACTTACAATGTGTTTTTTCCTTTTTTTCCTTTTTTCTTTTCACCCCCAGTGAAATTTGATGACTGCAAGGGGAATAACAAATTGAACTTTGAAATTTCTAACCCAAACTTTACAGTGGAACTCGATGGGAATTTGGTTGCACTCAAGAATGTATCAGAAGCTGGCAAAGCCTTGTTTGTCCATGCACGGTCGGAGCACGCTGAAGACATGGCAGAAATCTTTATTCTTGAAGCAAATGAAAAACGTGGTGCATTAAAGGTAAGATAAATAACAAAGATTAAAAAAAAAAGAAGACCAAGGAGATGTGCTGCTAAATATTTACATGTGTCACCTAGGATTGTAGGCAATTTTAATCTGTTAGCAGAGATCAAAATCAGTCTTCAATGCAGATATTGCTGTAACGTTTTTGCTCTTGGTTTAATTTGTGATGTAGATTTCCCAGGTTGTGGAAGATGTATTGCATCTTCAGGTGTGGATGCTAAACATTCATAAAGACTTTATTCAAATGAAAGAGTCCAAGTATGAAAATTGCCTGCTTCTTCCAATGTATGTTATGCCAGGTAATCACAGTTTGGCCACAACTAAAAATGGAAAATCATGGTTTAAATGTGTAATTTAGAATTTACAGAACCTTCACATTTCACTCCAAGTCTAAGTACACGGGAATGAATTCTGTGTAATTTAAATTTTCATATTGGTCTGCTTATCTGTTATTGTTAGGTGGTAAACTGCTTAAACATCTGCACACAGTGACACACATTGACACTCTGTCTCTATACCTGGTGATTTTTGTTCTGTGCTGTCCATTGAATATTTTGTCCTTTCTTTCCCTCTCCTGAATTTCAGTGTAAAACAAACCTCATCCTTAGGGGGATAAAACACTTCAGAAATTGAATGGAATTTTTATAAATTGAATTATTATAAATTGAATTATTTACTTCACACCCTTGCAAGTAACAAAAAGAGATGTGAGATAGCTTCACTTCTGTGTCCTGGCATTTAGGAGAGAGGCAGGCAGGGCAGTGGCTCACTAGGCAATTAAGCCTGGTACCTTTCCAGACCTATAATTTCACAGAAGTATAAAGAAATTTTGATAAAAATGACTGATCTGCTGTCTCAATTTGGTATTTAGACATTCAATTGCCAGCATTCTCATTATATTCCCAACAAGATATTAGTATAACTTAAGTCTTCCATTATAAAAACAAATTATCTTGAGGAGAAAGGTTGAACAACCTTCTGAAAGTCCGTGGCTGAGGAAAGGTTTTGCTCTGCACTCTGAGCAGCACACCATGTGAATATGGATTGCCAGCAGGAGAGAAAGAACCAGAATGTGTAACTGCAGAAAGTGATCAGAACACTGAAATGGAATTTAATTTTATTTAAATATGCCGTTTCTTCACGAAATTAAATTTCAACACAGTCCTACTTGAGGGAATCTCTTACGTGGAGGAGCTGTGAGTTTAGGACCACAGACTGCCAAATGCAGAGTAGGAAAGCTACACTTGAGGAGCAAGCTGGGCACTTGGCTGTCCTGTGCCTCAGACTAGCAAGACTTGCTCCTTCTGGTGCATTCGCAAGAATGTTCAAATGGGTTTTTTTTGAAACCTTAGGAGCAGTTTCAAAATGGAGATCATCATTCTCTGGTTAGAAGTTACTAAAACCACTGAGGAGTTTGAGACGTCTCTGACAGGAGGTCTGGAACTAAACTTCAAGGGATTGGTTTATGTGTGAAGATCTGACTCTCTGAGAATCACATTCTGAAGATTTATTCTGGTTTCTTAGAGAAACAGCCCTTCCATATCTGTGAGGAGAGATATTCTATGGATGCTACAGTGTAAGGGAAATCTTGTCAAATATTCCATGGAAGTTACAATCTAGAGGAAATCTTGTCTCATGAGCAGGAGTTACATCCTGCAAATACAGGATGTGTATTTGCACAATTATGACAAGCTCTGCCAGCAACCTTTTGTCTTTCCGTCCTGTTTGGGTTCTGGGGAGTCTCCCCTCAGAATGTTCCAGCAATATTACTTGATGCCTAGTGTTGAAATCTCTCTTCAGACTACATTTGAAAGTCAGGGCTGCTTTGGCCCCACTCCTGGATTCTGTTCCAACCACTTTGTGTTGCTTCAGAGAGAGAAAACCAGTCTAAATCAGGCATATTCTGCCACTTGGCAGCCTTTCCTCACAGGTGACAATATCACATCATCTCAACCTGCATTCACCATGTCTTTCTGGATTTTGACATTCAGCCCTTAACCAGCTGATTACCCATTTATTGTGGGATTTAGTGCCTGCAATGCCGTTGTGAGTTACATGATACCTTATTGTGTCCTGGGAAATCCATCTAGCGAGAATCACCCCCTTTCAAGGGAATATAAAAATGTCTGGGGCTGGCTGTCCTGCTCTGGCCTCACCCATTCCTCTGTAGCTGTTAAACCAGTATTTCTTCCCAACCTTTTCATCTATTTGCCTATTTTAAACACCACACAGACAGTGTTGTCTTTCTGTTTGTCATACTTGAGAAGGACATAAAGTCTGCAGCTTCCTATGTAAAGTGATTTTATGATAAATTTGAACTTAATCCTGTACTTTTGCAGTCTAAATGTGTCAGCACGGAAACAGCAGAACTGCTCCATCTGTTTATGCAAGGAGCCTTGGCTAAGAAATGCTCAGATGGAACCTCAGTAATTCAGCATAATTCTGTGGGGTTAAGATGAGCACATGCTGGAGCAGTGCTTAGCATTTAGTACTTAGAGAACAGTACCTTGTCTAATTAGGGGATAAGTAGTTCTTAAGTATTTCCCCACTGCCAGCAACTGCCATTTCTTTCCTGAAACTATGTAACCTACATCTGTGAAATCCCATTGTTAATGTTGCTAATTGCAGATTCCCAACGTGTTTGGGAATGGCTCTCAACAATGATTTCTGATGTGCTGACTGGCAGTCGGAGCCTAGGAACAGAGAGTAGCTCCTAAAACTTTCTGATTGTTACCAACCATACTTTGAATGAATATGGAAATTATTTAGAGGTCCAATCTGGAGTGTGCAGAAAAGCTTTTGGTATTCTGCTGGTGAAGGGGTGCAGTTCTTTCCTGCTAAAGATGGGGATGATTCCAGCTGGCCTCCCCGATCTGATTCGTCCTATGTGATTAACTAAATTAACTTCATGGCCAGAGTATAATCAGTGGCTGTTGGAATATCACTTAGTATTTAACTGTTATTTGCATCTGAAGGGCCTGTTTTCCTCCTCTTCTGCCAGAAGCATAATAGACCTGCAGAGCCTGCAGCTTTCCATCCAGGGGTGGCCATGGCTATAATATGGACAGAGGTGGCTCCTCAATCACGGGCCAGCTTGGCCATGGTCACACAATCTCCTGCAGGAGCAGATTCTGCATTGCTGCTTTCCCTGATGTCTGCATGTCTAACATACCCTAAACCCCATCATTCTCTGCTACAGATATTCATACATGCAGAAATCTGTCCGTCAGATTCCACACTGGATTCCAGATCAGACTCCAGCTGGAACTGCTTTCTGCAGTCTGCTGGATGGGCCTCCTCCCTCTTGTGATTTTGGATAGATGTACTGGTCTCTGTCTGTCTTGACAGAGAGGAATATTCCCAAAAATCTTCTGTCATTTCTCAGAGGCTTTTGAAGGTGAGTGCACAGAAGAACCTGTGGCAGGTGGAATAGTTAACCTTCAATAGTCATGTGCCTGTACACCCTTGGAGCCTGATGCAATCAGTGCTCAGTGAAAAAGAGGAATTCCACATGCATTCCTCATGGAGCAGTGCTGGTGAGCAATGGAACATTCCCCATGGAGCAGTGCTGGTGAGCAACGGAACATTCCTGTGAGAAATGCTACTCACTTCCAAAAATTTAGAAAGGTTTATTAAAACCTTATCAAAAACACAACAGAAGACTGAATAGAGAAAAAATGGTGACGGGGGGAGCAAAGGATTTTTCCCACCATGTGCTCACCCACACAATGGAGGTCTTCACCTCTTAACCCTTTAGCCTCTCCCAAAGTTCTGTCCCTTGACTCCCTCTTCTCTGTCCAGTGGTGGAGTTTTACTTCCTTAAATCTGCTATAGTAACGAGCTGACCCTCCCAAATGTCCCAAACCCAGGTCACCCCCTGATAACAACACAAGGGGGGGTAAAACATAACTGTAAATATATAAAACTTCTCTTAACACACATACATGATATTTGCCTTTTAATTGTGAGAGCCAACCATTGCATTACTCATCTATCACATTCCCCATGGAGCAATGTTGGGATGTGCCTTGCTCTGCCTGTGCCTTGCCCTGCCCAAAGTTTGCTTGATGCCCTCTCACACAGTCAGAACTGGAGTGTTTGGGGATATTAAGAAAAAAGAGACCTGGAAATGTTTTGATTCACCCAGAATTGCCCAAATGAACTTTGGATTCATTCTGAATAATTCAGAGAATTGCTAAGCTTCAAATCCCTAATGGAAAAATAAATCACTTATAAACCCTATTTGGGGAGAAAATGGCCGAGTCAGTGACTGGCAGCATTCTCTTTTTTTTTTTTTTTTTAACTTGTGTATTGTCCAATGCTTGATCCCTGCTTTGTTTTATGGAGAAAGTAGGACAACTGAAAGTTGGAAATTTTGTCTTATCTGAACATGTGTCCAGACATTAGAGGATTTATGTATTTATTGAAAGAGTCAGGTTTTGTGGAAGGCAGAAAACATAGCCAGGCTTTTTTAGAGCCTCATAATAAATGGTGGGTTGCAAAAGGTGGCAAGCTGGGACTTGAACTTTGTCCTCCAGGGCTAAATAAAATGCTGTCTTCTGGTCCTGGTCCCCCTCTGGAATCTAGTGCTGGTTTTAATGAACATACCCTCAGTATACTGAGAGCTAAAAGGAAACCTTGGGACACAATCTGTCTCTGCCTCTCTGTGTTGGCAGCCTTTATTTTTTTTTTCCTTCCCCACAGCAAAGGGAGTTATTTAGAACTTTTATTTGTTACACCATTACAGACACAGGGTGAGGGGTGGAGGGGAGTGAGATATCAAGAGTCTGGCACCAGAGCAGATAAGAGGGCAGGCAGATATTCAGAAATTCCAGGCTGGTAGTAACTTCACTGCATGGTGCTCAGCAGTCTTCCATACAGAAGGATGAAATGATTAAATAGAAACTGTCAAACCCTCAGGACACATTTCAGGCACTAGATAGAAAAGGAACAAGAGAAAAAAAAGGAGAGATAAGGGTGAGGAGCACACCCAGAGA